TCTATAAGAAAATAAATAGTATCGATTTAAATATATATATAAAAAAAAATTAGAGCTTAAGTTCAAACTATCAAAACGGAGATAAAATTGAATCATCAACTTCTTCGATATATTTATGACTTACTCACATTAATCTATCGAGAAACTCGGAGAATTCACCGCAAACATCAATTCAAACGTTTCGTTAAATTGTGCAATTTTCTGTTGTCTTCACTCGATACTTAAAAGCTTTAAGAAAATAAATAAAGTTGTGATAAAATTTAATGTAATCGCTTCAATAATAATAACGTTACAGCAAATGCAGTTTATTTTTTTCTCGTATCAAACTTTGCAAACATGAAACAAACATATTAATAACAGTTGATAACTTTCCATTAACAAATAAATAAATATCACACAATTAACGAGAAGTTATCTGAAATTTCGGATTGTTTAATCGTATTGTTGTTTCGGATGATCGATCCAAGGGGAATGACCTTTTTTTCCTTCCTTCTCTGAGTTATAAATGAAAATACGAAGGGAATTCGTTGCGTAAGTTTCGAATTGAACGGGAATTGTAATCGTTTTTGTTAAAAATAGATTCAGTTCTTTCTTTCTCTCTCTCTGAAGTGGATCAATTCAACGATTCATCTCGCACTGTTTTCTGTCTCGATCTTAGAAAACCATTAATGAAGATTTCTTAAAGTTTTTGTCTTTATTGTGTAACATGTGCGAAACAGATCTTAATTTTTGTGTAAGAAATTTATATTTGTTTCTTTTCTTGTATTTTTTTTTATTTAATTGAATCATTTATAATTACTTTAATAAAATCTGAAATTTTCTGTAAATAAACATTCAATTTCAAAAGTTGTTATTTTTGTCCACTTAAAATGGCCGATTTACTTAATTGACAGACACCTGTCACATAAATAAGGTTAAGCGATGTTTCATTTTAACCTATATGTTTATTTTGTCTAAGAAAAAAATGGAGAATTGCACTAATTGACAGATAAATTGTCAAATAAATTAGGTTAAAACATTGATTGTCAACTGTACTAGATATAATTGTAAAATATTAATTGCTTTCTTAATACAAATAAAATTATGAAATCTCTATTTTGTCCTGATTTAGTTAATATTTTTTCTATTTATTTATTTAAAAATTGTTTTTTTATCTTATTTCAAAATAAATAATTGAGTCTAAAATATCAAAACAAATCTGAATACATTTCTTGCTATTAATAATTAGTTCAATTAATTAAATAAATTGATGAAAAGTTCTAACTGAAATATCATTTAAATTTGTAAAGTTATATATTATATTTATACATTCATGTAATAATGTTGTTACTTTGACGTAACGCATAACCACAATAGATTACTTTGTGACATCTGTCATATTAAGGTTATACAATTTTTTGACATATGTCAAATTATTATAATTGTATTAACTAGTGTTCTTTTTTTAACATCTATCGAATTTTCTATATAATTTTCAATGATAAAAAAGATTACTGAAACAGAAAATAAGTTTTTTTATTGTTTGTTAAAAACTTGTAAAAGTCTGAAATGAAAATGTGTACATTCATATAATAATATTATTGGAACTGTGTTTTGTTTTTTGACGTAAACACAATACATTTGTTTCATGACATCTGTCATATTAAGGTTATACAATTTTTTGACATATGTAAGTAATTGTGTCAATTAGTGTTCTTTTTTTTAACATCTATCGAATTTTTTATATAATTTTCAATAATAAAAAAGATTACTGTAATAGAAAATAAGTTTTTTTTATTGTTTGTTAAAAACTTGTAAAAGTCTGAAATGAAAATGTGTGCATTCATATAATACTATTATTGGAACTGTGTTTTATTTTGACGTACACACAATACCTTTGTTTCATGACATCTGTCATATTAATTTTTTGACATATGTCAAATTGTAAGTAATTGTATCAATT